TTCAAGGGATTGGGCAAAGGACCTGGGGACATGCCCACTCCGTGCCCAGAGGCACGGTGGCGGATAACAGAAGACGCATGTGTTGGGACAGATTTTTGGGGTAGGAAGGATTTTGCACAGAAAGCGTTCGAGTTGGGAAGGATTTCGGGGCTCGGGTTGTTTCCCTAAAAAACAAAACGCTTTAGCAGGTAAGGATTTTTGATCTCGGGATCACTTTACGCTTGGGCTGGAAAGGATTGTGGGGCGACGAATGATTTCATATAAAGAGACGACGCTTAGGCTGGACAGAATTTGGAGGCTAGGAATAAGTTTACACAGGAGGCGCCTGGGTTGGAACGGATTTTTGAGACTGTACACAGAAAGCGCAGGGGCTGGGAATCTTTCAGGGCTGGGTATGATTTTAGCGAGGACATGCATGGGCTTGAAAGAATTCTGGGGTTAGGAAGGTTGTTGGACAACAAACGCTTTGGCTGGGACGGGTTATATGACTAGGGAGGATGTGCACTTGAAAACGCCTGGGCTCGGGAAGGATTTTGGGTCTAGGAAGAGTTTCACACAGAACACGCCTGGGCTGGGAAGGACTTTGGGGCTGGGCATGAGCAGACGACATTCGGTCTGGCAACGATTTGTGGGCTAGGACGGGTTTTACATATACATCGTTTAGGCTAAGGAAAATGTTGAGGATAGGGCGGAATTTTCACAGAAGACTCGCGGGCTGGGAAGGATTTTGCACAGAGGACGCTCGGGCTCGGAAGAATGTTGGGGCCAGAGACGATTTGAAACAGTAAATGCCTGGGATGGTATGGTGGGAAATTGGTGTTGGGGCTAGGGGTGGGGTCAACAGAAAGCGCCTGGGTTGGGAAGGCGTTTGGGGCTAGGAAGGGTTGGGCTGGGATGGACTTGTGGGTCAGGAAGGACTTCATATGGAAGGCGCCTGGGTTGGGAAGGATTTTGGGCTTGGACGGATCTCAAGTTGAACGCGCTTTGGATACGAGTCGGGGATGGGGAGAGTTCTGCACAGCACGCGCCTGGGCTGGGAATGGTTTTGGGTCCAGGGAGGAGTTGCACGGACGACGCCGGGGCTGGGACGGATTTCGGGGCCATGCCAGGTTTCAAACAGAAGACGCATGGATTGGGGCGGATTTGAGAGTCAGCACAGATTGCGCAGAGAAAACGCTGTGACTGGGAATAGGATTCCAAATCGGCAACGTTCGGGGTGGGAAATCTTCGGGGGCGAATGAGCATCTCCCGCAGAAGACGCATGGGTTGAGACGGATTTGGGGACTAGGGCGGCTGTCTTGCCCAAACAGTGGATTGTCTTTTATTAAACATGCATGTACGCATACCAAACATTTGTAGTTATTTTAAGAGCGGAAAGCATGTGTTTGGAATATTGTGTGGTGTAGGAAGCCTTTTAAACAGAAGGCGCCCGAGCTGGGAAGGATTCCATAGGCTTGCGCCACATCCGCCGACCCCTTGTATTCCTTGTTCGCTCAGGTATCGCTTCCTTCTCTATCTCCCTTCCCCAGGGGCTCTTAAGGGGGGTCCTTGGTGCATCTGTGGGGGATGAGGCGGAGGAGGGGGAAGATAAATAGATGGAGAAGGTGAGGATGAGGAAACGGCGTCGAGCGGACTCCGGTAGGGGTCCAGGGGTTCATTTCGAGTGGATATCGTCTTCACCCCCCTCTGGCTTTCGGGGGTCCTGTCCGGCGCAAGGAGGACGTCTACAGCCCCAGGGCCGACCTTCCTAACGAATAGGATGCATCTCTTCCTTCTCCTCCTCCTCCTCCTCCTCCTGCTCCTCCTTTTCCTCCTCCTCCGCCTTCTCCTCCGCCGACATTATTTTTATACTCCTCCTCCTCCTCCTCCACGTGAAGAAGAAGAGGAGGAGGAGGAGGAGAATGCGTTTGACCGCTTGTTTTCTATGCAGTGGTGTGTGTGTGGTTACATCTTGCTGATGAGGTCCGTCCAGGACCTGCGGGGGTAGTCCGTTGTCGGCTTGGGAGTCCTTGTTGTGGCTTATGGGGGCGGAGACTCTCGTACGCCTAGAGGCCGACAAGGGGTCGGCCGATATAAATGGTCATTGGCCCATCTTGGGCGTCTTGGAGCGATCATCCGTTTTTTTTTGCTCTCTGGGGCCGGTTGGGGAGTGTCTTGGGAGGCTCCCAGCCGAGCTTGGGCAGCCCAGACGGGGCCTCTTCGGCCTTTTTGGGGACTTCGTGGGCCCTCTTGGGAGCATCTTGGAGCTGAAGGCCCAGAATTTTGGTTCGCCCCCCCATGTTGGGCCACTCTTGGGGCCGACTTCGAGCCCTCTTGGGCCTTCTTGGGCGCCTCAGGCCGAAGAGGCGTATATGACAAAAATATACGTTTCCCAATTGGAATGAAACGATGTTGGCCCCTTGGGCCTCTCTTCGCAAGCATGTTAGAGGCCTCTTGGAGCGTCTTGGCGGCCTTTCGGGTCGTCTTGGGCCCATCTTGGGCGTCTTGGATCGAGCATTAT